TAGTATAGGAAATGTCTAGGGACCGACTAAAAACAGCGTCTTATGCGGGAAAGCGTCTTAAGCGAGTTTGACTGTATTTATTTCATATATTTTGCTTATTTAGATAGCAAAACATATTAGTATAGTAAAATAGTTCGTAGAAATTAAATGAATTAAAAGTTTTTTTTTCTTTAAACTAGATTGTTGTTTTCTGATTGTATTGTATAAAATGTCAATAATTTGAGGTATACTATATATTTATACAAATAAAAAAATCATATTTTTTTTCACGATATTTTACAGTTTGAAGAAATTCTGATAGAAAAAAAAAATACTTAAATATTTTATTTTTATGTAGTCCAGAATAATTAATAATATTATATTACATTCTATCCTTGGATCGATCCTAATTTCGTATTTATTGACAAGAATATAATAATATCCCTACTATCCTCGTTCTCCTATTGTTAAACTACTAATCTTGTTGATAAGATGTAAATATTATGTGTAGTTAATAGTTATTATAGTTACCTAATGAATTTCGAGTTTGAACGGTGTATAATTAGGTACCCCTACAATAAATATATCGTGGTTTGATTTCGGTAACAATGTACTTCCAATATTGATGCAGACTATTATGGGATGGAACACGGTGAATTACCAATTATGATCCTGGGTCAAATGTCTCGACCTAAAAATATCTTAGAATGCAACGTGAAGTTCATAGAACAATTTGTAACGCGCGAAATGTCGAACAATAACATGGAATTAGTTAATAATATTACAATATTAAAGTATTTCATTGAGTGTTTATGGATTATAATCAAATGATAATTGATGTATTAAATAATTAAATGATTTAATAAATGGTTGATGAAATTTTGGAAATACTTTATTAATTATGGATATAAGTTAATTGTAAAGAAAAATATCAACCATTTAATTCAATTAAGCATAATTGGTTATTATATTGTCTATAAATATTTATTGAACAAAAGACCACATTCCACAGTAAGATATTTAACACGGATGAGTCAAATTTACTCATAATTGAATTTGTTCAGGTACCTAATAATAGTTTAAAACAATAGGTAGGTATTCGTTAGCTCAAAAGTTTAAAACAAACTTAACTAATTAACTCGTCAGTATACAGACTTGTTGTAATTAGTGGTTTTACTATCATTACCAAGTACTTTTGTTAGTACCTGACCTGATCAATTTAATAGTATAATATTATATACAAATAGTAATTTTTCGTTTTAAAAATCATAACATTGATTCACAAATATATCATTCAAGTAAAATATTTACGGACAATGGTACAGGAACTCGATTAGTGTTATATTTAGTGGTAATATTGTTATATAGATATTTCCTTATAGGTTAGGTTAGGTTGTAATTTGCAATACATTCTACTAAAACATCTGAACAATTATTCAAAGTATAATAATTAATAATATTAACTGAAATATTTAATTTAAATTAAAAATCCAAAATACTTATAACAATATAGGTATGTTAAACTTTTATTAATAAACACTAATAATTGTCTTCTTTAAAAAAGACGTCTGACAGAAAATTCTAAATACTAATTCTAACAACATAAAAGTTAGATTAGAAGATATTACATAATACGTGACAAACTCTATCTATATGAATAAATATTTTCTTTTTAATAATAAATGATGTAAGTTGTTTATTGAAATTGAATTGTCAATAAAATATCACACTTAACGTTTTTCTATGGGCTTTTGTTTTTATATATTTACATTGGTAATATTAAAATTGTCTGCAAATTTAACTTGGATATTATAAGAGGAAAGAAATTTTTAGCGAGACAAGAAATGAAGAAAAAAAATTATTGTCTTTTAATTTTCATTTGTTTTTATTAAAATAATTTTACCATTGTACTAAGACTTGTGTTTTATTCCATATTTAAAGTTACTTAGCATACTTCATTTTATATTACATTTCAATAACATATTGCCGTAAATATAAGCAAATGCTAATGATGAACAAAAATGTATTAAATGTATGTGAATAACATATATAAAACACATAAAATATCTACTAAATGATCAATACAACTAAAAAAAAACTGGGAAAATTGCTCTGCTGTATAGTAGGTATCTAGAGTAGCTTGTTAGTTTGAATTCAATGTAAAATCATTGACTTACTAGCAAACATTTTTCTGAGTGGAAACTTTCTGACTGTCTATATTTTTAAGGACATTTCAGTTTATATTTATGTCGATTTTAGAAATTTACTTTTCTATTAGTAATAAATAATAACATAAAGATTGGATTTTAATATCTTCTAAAAAAAGTTTAAAATATTCGTTTAATAACCTTTAAACTTGTAAAATAAATGAATATATATATATATATATATATTACTGTAAACATTTTGAAAATCTCTATGATAGTTACAATAATAAATATATATTATTTAATAGTATATAATTATAACATTAAATTTCATAAATTTCATAAATATATAATATTTGTATACTTATTTATAATACATTAATTGAATATCATATAATAATATGTCTCATTGCTTCAACTTGAAAATAACTATTGCATATCTTTTCTCTGCTAAATTATTTAACTTCAGTCAAATTTGAAACAATAACACAAATCAAATAATTAAAGAATTTTAATTTCAAACATTTTTTTCTTCAATGGAATAATTATAGGTTAGGAAATGATCAAATATTTTTTAAAATGTCTTTTATGTTTTCCAATTATTTTGAAAAGTACTGTGTATTTTTACTTTTGACAACCCTAGATACCAAGTACCAACTAGATATATGTATTGTTTTTACCAGAAAACGCCTTCTAAGATGGATATTAAACTTTTTTACTACTCCAAAAGGTGATCACAAAAAGAAAAAAAAATATATATACAGGGTGATTTTTTAAGCATGCTCGCCCCATTTTTATGCTTAAATTATGCATATATATTCAAATTCTGATTTTTGGAATATTTAAGTGTAGTTAAAGGCGATATTTTTGAGTACTTAGATTTTTCACAACTTTTAAGGAGTATCCTGTAGCGATACCAACTTTGGTTTTTCAAATGACAACCAATATGTTTTAAAGCAAAATGTGATTCAGATAAATTTTCTGAAAATTTTGACATATTGCAATCAAAATTCGAACGAAAACTTCCAGAGTTATTCTACTTGAAATACTAAGGAATAAGGATAAAAGTCTAATACTTAAATGCCTACGTTGTAAATGGATACGATAATTATAATTCGGTATACAATATAAAAATAAAATATTTGTTAATAATCACTACTTATTACTATATGGCCAAATATTGCATCTGACAATTTTCAAAACAAAAGAAAATATGAATAAAATAATATCCTTTTTATTTTATCCATGTTACCTATACCTTATTGGCAACGTTAATATTTGTATAGCATAGGTATACCTACTTATAATAAAATACCGAACAATAGTGTACAATAGCACAAATGCGAAATATGTACGTGTATCCATTACAACGTAGGCATTTAAGTATTAGACTTTTATCCTTATTCCTTAGTATTTCAAGTAGAATAACTCTGGAAGTTTTCGTTCGAATTTTGATTGCAATATGTCAAAATTTTATATAAATGTATATAAAATGCACATAGCTCCGCTCAGAATCTAAAATCCAATTCTCAGATTAACAAAATGATTATTGTCAAGATGAAAATGATTTATTTTCGTCTATTTCTATTATATTCAATTTATTTTACTTTTTAATATGGTTTGACATTTCAATTATTTTACGTTTGACTGTGATGCACCTATGTATTATAATGTATTATTATAATTTGAATGTACTTTGTAAGTAGGGGCTACTAATTATATCCACAGAGGAGGTAGGTAAAATTAATTTATAATAAATTTAAAATCTGATTGAAGTGAACTAAATTCATTTATAAGTTATAACTCAATAAACTATAAGCCTATATAATTCAAGAATATGTTTTTATATATTTCTTATAAATTATTCTATAGATGTTCATCAAAAGCAGCACAACTCATTTTTAGTTCTTTGACTTACTTTCGATCATTAATGATTTTAAATACGTATTTAATAAAGCTGCATATAATAATTTTTATTTCAACTTAATAAGAACTTTTTTTTCTTGCATATSGCAATAAGAGCTTGACGAGTTGTTTATTATATTTTTTTTAAATTGAACTTCTGGGATAAAAAAATATGTTTGGTTATATAATACTACAATTTAAATATATATAATATTTATTTTAATAAACACACAAAAATATTTTAATTTAATAAAAACCAAAATTATGTACTAAAATCAAAGCTCATTTATAATATAAGAATCAATGATTATTCTAAAAATAAAATTATATAAATACAAATAAAAGTATTCAAGTATATTAGATGTAAGTATTGCATGTTTTAAATAAACAGTAAGACAGATAGGTATGATACCTACTTTGTAATTATATTGTCAGTTACCTATAACTTACTTATTATCAACTTTAATTACATTTCTCTTTAAATTAATTACATGTAACGTAAAGATTAGGCTTCACGCTAACGTAGTGTGCTGGACGTAAAAACATCTTTCTACAAATTAAATACAAAGAGAAGTTAGCCTTTTATAGGGGTTGTATTATTTATTTAATTATTTTGTTATATCTAAACAATTCCATTATGCGTTTACATGTGTAACGTATACAGAGTGATATTTTTAAGTACTTTTATAAATAATTTTTCTTGTAAAATTTGAGTCACTATAAAACAACGTTTAAAAAAAAATTTTATTTTCTACTATTTTTGCGGTTATATTTTTTAGACAACATGTATTTTCAATTTCATATTTTAAATTAAAAATGGTCCAAAAAGTGTAAATGTATTAAGATCAAATTTAGAACAAGTAGTTAACTATAGCTAATTAGTTTTAAGTGTTGTAACTGATGAGTCTGAAAATTTCTAAGGAGCTCTGTTTACCTTGCAATATACTAAAAAAAGTGCGAGCGTATTACCTAATTAATGATCATTGCAGTGCATGACTCACGTGCGTACGCTGAGTGATCAACTTCCGTTTTACTTGCACATGTTGTTTATAATTTACCTATATGAAATTGTGTACTTTTTGTCAACCATATTGAACATCTATGAGAATAAAAGATGTAAAATATCTGAAAGTAAAAACATATTTTTGTTACATTTATATACCTATACCTTCAGTATATACTATATATCTATACCATAATTAACATTTTTTAGTTTCAAAATTTTACTTTTAATTCCTTAAATCTACAAAGACATGCAGGAATTATTGGGTTTGGTATTCGAAAAGTCGATATTGAGTCAACTTTATGACAAATCACAACATCAAAAGTTTTATTGCCATACAGATAGTAAAACAACTGATTACAAATGATGTGATAGTGCTTAAGCTAGTGTTAAACATTTAATTTTTATGAAAATATAATATTATAATTTATATTTTATATTATATACAAATGGCTTTATCTGATGTAATCTCAGAAATTCATAATTCAACGAATGCTAATTTAATTAACATATTTTAAACAAATCTGATCTTAGTATCTGCATGCATGATATGCCAAATGGTTTTACCATACACTTGATAATTATTGAGTAAAGCTAATGACTTTTCAAATTTTAAATATTACTTAATAGTTATTACATTTATAAATATAAAAGTTATTTTTAAAATATATCAATGATTATATTTAACATTTTTCAGAAGTTTCCCTACTTTACTTTCACTTTCATCGTATAGTTAAAGTAATTATATAAAATATATTAAAGTATAAGTTACGAAAAAAAAAAATTAATAGTAGTAATTTAAATTATTATACTTATTGACAATAATATTATGTACATTATATGCATCAAATTAATTAATAGTAGTAATTTAAAAATATAATACTTAATAAGAATAATAAGAACTGTAATAAGGTTTGGTTAAAGAAATCCTACATATTTTAACTCTATTGATAAAAGAAAATAAAAAAAAATGTTTTGTACCAATATTGTCAAAATATGTTGTCTTTATCATCTAAACTCTCGAGGATGCTTATGTATAGTTATGTAGGTATCAATAACTTTGAGGGTTTTAATATAATTAAGTTCTGAATAAGTAATTATTTTAAATACTAGTATAATATTCATATTTTATTTGTACTTATTGTACGTATTAGATTTGAGTAACATTAAATGTTGTTTGTTTTATTTATTTCACTACAGATCATATAACTATTACATGCACAATAAATAATAAATACGTTAGTTCATAATATTGTTTTTATTCTTATAAACTTTTTATCTCCAAATTCAAGCAACTCTAAAAAAAGACAGATAAATCCCAAAATCTATATAATAATGTTATATATGTAATATGTATTCATTAAACTATTTTGGTTTTACATTTTAAAAAGTATGTGTATATTTTTGTCACACCATTAACCATAATAATCGAAATAAAGAATAATGGTRATTTCAAAATTATCAATATTCATAACTAAACTAATCACAATAAAATGTTTTAATTTAATTTTCTAATTTATTTTTTCTATAGTGTATCAATTTATCTTTGTATTACTATAAAATAATTTATCTATAAGACCAGAGGAGTGTAACTTCATACCTAACAAGGAAATGTCTAGCTATTTTCTCACATAGTCTGATACTAATTATTATAATCTTAATACCAAAATAACATCATAGAATTAAGCTATAAAAACAATAGAAAAAAAAATTAGGATATTAGAACTTCGTAATACGAGATACACATTCATACATGAAGAATTGAAGATATTATAGGTAAGTTTGTAATTTAGACTTATTWTAAGCTGAATTTAAGCAAAATACCACTGTCCAAATAAACTGCGATAATGAGAAAAAAGTAATCTTTTTTGTACTATTTAAAAATAAATCATTTTTTTATATATTATTTGTACAGATGCAACTTTTGACCATTAGCAACTTTAAACGGTCTATCAATTATCTATACTTAATTAGCTTAATTCACATCATAAGGTATTGAATTGGTGATTAATACTCTAACAACGTTACAATTATGTAAAATCATATTATAATATATCTATACATGTTTCAAATAATATTATTTATACACATCCTAATATCCTATAGTTTGTTTTACTTAAAAATAAATAAGTAACACAATATTTCCAAATGAACAAACACAAATTAAGTTATATTCATAATTGTCGTTTATTAAATATGATGAAGAACTTTTCTTAAATGTATAAAAAAACAAACCATTTGAAAAATGTTGTATTACCTAAATTAAATGTATGGCTTTTAAGTTTAAATTAATGAATATGCTGTTAAGAGGTGTATATAATTTGTTTTTAATATTTTGATTGAGCTTAATATAGTTGTTAAACATATATAAAGAACTCACGTGATTTAAACAAACTCTAAACGGTTTAATGCTTTATTTTAATTGATTTAAAAATAGTAATTTTATAAAATTTAGTTATAAACTATAGATTACAAATATATTAGTTAGTAATTAGTGTAGTTACATCAAACAAAAAAGATGTACAAAGTTTGTCGAAGTACGATGGAGTCATAATGGCATTTTTGTTAAAAAATAATGTATGATATAGAAGATTAGCATCGTATGCTTCTTAATTTTATTGTTATTTTATGTTTTTTATAAATAATAAACGAGTGCATTTAATAGTTATTTGAAATAAAAAAATTTTATCCATATTTTCAAAATTTTTTTTTTTTTCGTATGGCGCTATGTCTGGGAGTAGGCCCGAAATAATTTTAGTCAATACAAATACGCATTTTTTTTATAATTTTTAAAATACAAATATTGTTATATCATAAAAAAAAAAAATAATAATAAAAATGACCAATTTGCTTAATTATATTTGTATACATGTATCAATATTGTATTTTTAATTTAACTTTGTGGAATTGAAAGAATAAAAAAAAAATAAGAGTAATAATTACCAGACACTGTATTTATTGTTTATCCTAAGCATTTATTTTTTACACATTGCAAGGCTTTGATTATTAATCGAAATATTTTTTTTATCACTAAATTTAATAAACGCACCAATTCGTATAAACTGTAGTGAGAGTAAAATAACTTACGTTTCATGTGAGCTTTCAAGTCATCGATAGCGAAATCCTAGCACCTGTTTGCACGCGACATTCAACGCAGACTGGAGCGGTCCTAACACGGGTAGCGCATCGACAAACGCACTACTCCGGCTCCCTCCACTTCATGTGCACCCTCGCCCCTCGAATGCAACTAACGCACTTCAGTGGTCCTGTGCACAGTGTGTTTAATAATATGACGTTCTGACCCTGACCGTACACACCATCACCGGACTGCTGGTTTTTTTTAAGAACATCGACGACCCTAATAGTTCTGCGGGTCTCATTATAAATGTTCCCATTATATTTCCGACATTACGCGGAAACCAAATAGGTTGGCCATAAAAAAAAAATGATAAATTAATTATAATATCAACTATGATAAAAACACGTCTAACAGTGGTTTAGAAAAAATAGGAAAATATGAAATTGATTTGACCTAGTTTGGATGACGTTGCGAAATCTACTCAGAGGTAAAATTTTCTTAGATCATTTAGTAATTCCTGCATCCTGCCTTACCTATATATTTATAAGTTATTTAAAAGTTTTGAATTGATATAATTCACATTTTATTGTAGTTATTAGTTTATTACATCTTCAATAAGTAATGTAACGGTAAAAAATGTCCATTAAATAAATTACTTAAAATGCGTGATTTTCACAAATTTCTTTCTTAGTTTCCAAGTTGTAAGTACACAATGTATACATATTTTCAATGGGCTATCTATTCGGTATAAAAATGAAAAATTATAGAGGCTGGATAGTTTCAGTTTTCATAGAATATAATAATATTATTATTCTGTAGGATTCAATATACATTTCAAAACATTTTTGAATTTTGTGTGCCGCTGATTAACATGGAAATTCTGTTTTCATTTAATTAAATTCAATTAATTATGATACAATTTTATTTTTAAGTCTAAAAATACTTGACAATTGAATACAGGGTTTTTTATAAGTTATTTTTTTAGCAATTCTGATATTCATATTTTTATGAAAATTATGAAAATTTTACAAACTATTTTGATGTTGAAATTTCTAAAAATATTTAATTTTTAAGGCTTTTAAGCAGTGAGGTTACTAGGAAGAGAGCTTAAGGGCTTATTTAAGGACACATTTACCATGAGCTCACTGATTAATGTTTTATATGTGAATTAAAAGTTAATATTTTTACGAAATTAGATATTCACAAATTTATTATCACGCCATTTTTCAGTATGTTTGTATTAACTTATAAATTAATAACGTAAATATAATATTTTATAAGATATAATATTATAATTATTAATAACATCATATTCATATGTGAGATTTTTCACGCAATTTTCGCTCAGATCCTTTTTTTAGAATTTTAAATGCAATAATTTATCATTGAATATAGTTAATTAAACATGTATATTACAGTGCTCTGCTCAAGTTACATTATGCTTAAACTGTTCTGGTTCGTTGTTGCTTAAAATCCATTGAGGAAGACTATCTCGCGGCTAGGCCTATCGATCACAACAATAAACAAAATAATAATAATTGAATCAATATATGTGATAATCATAATATAAATGACTGGTTATGTAGACTTATAATTGAATTATTATTTTTATTATAATTTGATATATTTTTTTTAATAAAATTTTATTCAATACAACATTTTTTCATGTGAATCGAACGTCAAACGAACAATATGTACAATATACATTAATTAAAACAAAAGTTTATATAATGTAAATGAATTATAATGAATGCAATACTAAAGATAAAAAAGTCTGCACTTTTCCGTGAGCTTTCAAAACTTCAAATAATCAAATTCAAATGTTTGGTTGTACTCATATCTATAAACATCATTTTCAATATATGAGTTTTTGTTTTTGCGATTGAAATCATGAGTTTAATTTATATCTCAAAATAAAATATTATTATTTTTCAATATTTTTGATTTTATTTGAAAAATTGATTAACTCATCATTAAATTGTATTCGTAAATATCTTAAAGACTTAAAATATATAACACTACTTTATATTTGTAAAGATTGAATACTTTAAAGAGCTTATTCATTTATAGGTGAGTAGTTTTGAAATGTCTTAACAAAATAAACAAACACTTTAGAAATTTAGAATAGATAAAGTGTTTGAAAATAATAACAGTTTGAGAAATATTATGAATATTATCAACTAGGTATTATTATTTTTGAAAGTTATTTCTAATTTTTCTCTTTCTATAATATGCCGATAGAATAGTTGTAAATGAATTGAATATATTCGTTTTAGCTAAACTACGTTGAATGCCATAGTAAAATAATATAAACGCATAAAGCTAGTAAAACGTTATGTTTGGAATGTAACATTGTCATGACTTACTTATATATAAATATGTCATTACAATGTCTTTAATGTTTAATATTAATATCGTGGATCATTCAAATAATAATTGAGATAATTTTAGTAGAATGACAGGTATGTTTAAAATTTGGACTTAAGTTACTTGGTTTCAAATATTCAAAGCATAAATTTCAGACATTTAAAGAAAAAACAAAACCACATTTTAAAATGTTATAAATTTCGAGAGATCATTAAAATGATTCGAAATGTTTAATAATACACAAYACCAAACAATAACAAAATCATTAGCGTAGTGATTGTTCCACTGTTGAAATATTCAAAAGGAATTATAACAGATGGAATTGGTGAACCACGTACGATGAATTAATGAAATAGTTATACGCAAATAATTAATCACAATAATTATATACCGTAATACAAAGTAAACATAATAATATAATAATAATATTAAATAGCAATTGCTGCGTATAATGAGAAAATGTCTGAGTATAATTTTATGCTAATTAGTTCTGTAATACGATTAAAAATTAGTATTTATAATTATAATAAAATAATATTATATAATTAATAAAAATAAAAATCGGGACAGAAAATTACAATGGTTCTTGATCAAATAAATCGACAAAAAACTTTAATCGGGACCACCATAGGAGCATTTTAATCAAAACTTTACATTCCGACAAATATATCGTTTTCCACATTGGATATCATTGCAATTGGCGAAACAGATTGATAATATAATTTATGGGCATCTCATCATCAAGACATAAACCATATAAATGTATTTACTGTAAATAATAATATTTATAGTAATAAACGTTTGGCATGATATTTTGAATTTTCATGAAAAAGGCTAAGGAATTAAAATAAAATGTCTTAAATATCGAGAAATTAAACATGTAGGTAATAAGGGAATATGATATCATGACATAAGTATAGTTTAGCGTGGTAAAAATAATTTGGTATTATATTACACTATAAATGTTTTAAAATAGCGTAAGCTAATAATATACCTTAAGAACCCTTAAAACGAGAACATTGTTATCCACTGTTCAAAATACTCAACAATCTACCAAAATCAAAATATGCTTTCAACCAACACAACAATGAAAATATATTCAAGTTTTTTAAACATATATATCACACATCTGGGTTATATATTTGATCTAAACAAATAATAATAATGTGCCCTTCTAATAATAATAATATATTTTAGAAGACACAATCATCGTATATTCATGACAGTGTGTTATTTAAAATAGTAAAAATCTATTATCAATTCATAAATTGTTATGATATTAATTATAAACGTGAGTTTTGGATTTTATCGAGTTCCACGGACCATAGATCAGCTATGTATTTATTGGTCGACATCTATATTATTCACAATTTTAAAGGGCTTGAACAAAATGCAAATTCAACACTGCAGTATTTTAATGCACAGACCTCTAGCGCTGCGAAATACAACGTCGAAGTTATGTGTTATGCAATTCAAAGCGTCAAGAATGCTTGAAACATCTCTCGTCGTTTCTATCTCGTTTCCATTCTGTTCACTTGGATGGATACGTCAATCCATAATTTTCCACCCTAATAGGACCGTCAATTTTCCGAAAACGTCTTTCTCTACCAGTGTGTTTGGTAGGTTGTCAAAAAATGGAAACCGTTTTAATCTCTAAAACTATTTTCTAATTTATTTTTTTATTGATAATAAGGCATCAACAACAAGGTATATTCTAAATTATTAATACAAAATTAAGCTGTACGCAATAAATATTATAGATACGGATCAATATCAAAAACATAAATAGATTATACAAAGCGGTTTGTCTGCAAGTCTGAGTGGTTTTTAGGTATTTTAAAGTTTAAACTACATATCACATTAGTATTTAATTTAAATGAATAGAAAATTACGAGAAGGCGAAACCTTCAGTTTGGTGGACTTTTCTTAGTGGACCCAAAAATAACACTGAATGCCACAATATTTGTTAGAATTAATAATAATAATAATAATAATAATAATAATAATAATAATAATAATAATAATAATAATAATATGAAATTTAATTGTAATTATTATTCAGTGAATAGAAAAATGTAATTATACGTATGTGCATATTTAAACAAATAAGTCAGTCTATTTCAAATATTTACAAATATTATTTTTATTAAAGTTGAAGCCTTGATAAAAGGACCATTGCTAGTATTCATACTTAAATGAAATAAACTAAATTGTATAATTTAATATATTCCATTAATAGTTAAAAATTTAATGGAATCTTCATTAGTTTTTAGTGCTTCATAAAGGTACTCGGATATGTAAAATGTTCGTAAAATTATTTTTTATTATTTATGATTGATTGCATTTAAATTAGTTACTTATATTATATGTATTTTTACAAACTTTATTTAAATGTCAAATCATATTTAATACAAACAATGTACTTTATTCAATTCAAAAAAGAATTTAAATGGCATGAAATTGTTCATGATGGATGGTTAAAAAAAAAAAAAAAAATTTAAAAAATATTAATTAGAACAAAAGCTATTCTAAAAGTCAGTTCTATCTGTTAATTTCTCACCTAATCTAGTAAATTAAATATAAATATACTGTGAAAATATATATGAAATCTTATAAAAGATTGTTTAAAATCTATGTTATTCAATTCATAAGCAAATTAAATGATGATANAAAAAAGAATTTAAATGGCATGAAATTGTTC